CCCCAAAACCCCAAAACCCCAAAACCCCAAAACCCCTATTTTAAAAGATTAAATTGAAAATTAATTCACTAAAAGTTTGATGAATTTGTTAATATTTAGCTGTTAATCTATCTCAAAAGATATCTTCTTCATCACTGTTACATTCCATTTCTAACTTTACAAATCCAACTTTTGATCGTGGTCTTTTTGCTTGAATTGCTTTATTTTTAAAAATTCGAGTGCATTCAAATTTATTCTCCTTGTTATCCAAATTAGTTCTAGCCGTTTTTATTTTGTCTAGATTAGAATTCTCTGCAAAACAAGATATCCCAGCCTTCTGAGGCTTCCTCACAACTTTATTTCTGACCTTCTTGGGGAAAATTGGAGCTACAATTTTAGACAAAATCTTACCTTTGCTAACGAAATTAATATTTTGTAAAATTTCTTTCTTATATTTCTCTCTATTTTACCTTTATCTCTCTGTAAAAATAGGGTTAGATAAATTCATTATACTGGAACTTACTTCTGAAGCTTAGGGCCACTAGTCCTCACTGTCTTATTAGTCATATTCACACTTGTGTTATGACTAGAAGAGGTTCTATCGGTTCTTTTAGATCGATAAATATTTTGTGAATCTACTCAGGAATCCTTCTGTTTCTTTTTCGAAATATTCCTTGAATTCCTGTCTACCAGCAAGGCTGACAGGCCTGAATTTGACTTAGAATCATTAATATGCATGTGTCTCATAAAGACTATTGGTTTTGAATCCTGTCTCTTTACCCATAAGCTATATAATCAAGCTCAATAATTACTTTTCAGGAATAGATAGGGCTGTTCCAGGCCGTTTGTGATGCTTCCTAGTCCTCTCTTTCTTACTGACCCTAAAAATTAGAAAGTATGTACATTTTATTCTCTTGATACACCTTATTTTTCTTCTGGTGACGCAGATGCTCCCTATATTTTTATTTAAAAGTCTACTTCAGGGAAAGTATGAACTGGGTTCTCATCATGTCAGCCTCCTTAGCTTGACCATCCTTCTTGTTTCCTGAAATATCATAAATTTTCTTACATTTTAGAGTTGTGTGAGAGACCTGGTTCTTTACGTTGTTATTGAGACTATCCTTTCTGATTGAAAAAGCAGTATCTTTACTGGAAGAGTTGGCATATTTTCTCTTACATTTGCTATGAATTACGTGAAAATAATACTAAAGAGACTTTTTCATAAACTTTCTGTAGCTACTCTTATCATAGTAAGGTCTTTGTGAACGACCTGTAGAAGGCTATAGATAAGGAACGAAATACCTACCTGCCTGCCATAGCCTGGCTTCGCCTTCAGAATGGTCTTTTTGCCACTCAGTCTTTGTTTGATCTTGTCTCTTTGTATTCTGAGTACTCCACCAGCTGCATTGTTGATACAGAGTTTAGTAAATGACGATGTACCAAGACCAAAGTAATCCATAATTACTTATAATTTCAATTTAAAACAATAAAATTGGGGTTTTGGGGTTTTGGGGTTTTGGGGTTTTGGGG